TTGCTGAGCAACTTCAGCCAGCCATCACCGAAACCTGAACTCCTTTTTCCTCTGGAAGTCTGGTAAGGGTAACTCGCGGAAGCCAGGCGCAGTTGGTACCGGGTGCAGGGGCTCCACGCCAACAGAGGCAAAGACAGACTGCCCAGATTAGAAGTTAAGGATTTCCCCATTAGCTAAAATACAGTTATGAAGATAGTGCCTGTTCCCTGTGGACAAGATTGAGAGAGAGCCAATAGACTGTTAAGAAAGCCTTAAAGTACCTGTTTGTTTTCATTAATAAAGAACTTTGTTGAACCTTTAAGCAATCTAAAGACTCTGTTTTAAGGAAATCCAAGGGCCTTTAATCTGAGGCAGCCCCGTTGGGCATCCCGTTGGGCACACGGAATTTATGTCCTGTCTGCAGTCTTATGCTATGGCCACGCAATAAATAGTTTTTTGTAGTTTAAAAGATTCAACTTTTGTGGTGTCCATTCTTGCCCTCCCTATTAGAAAGGAGGCTTCTGCTTTTTTTTGGGGGGGGGGGATATTTTGGTTTCTTAGCCCCTACATAACTAGTCAATGAGTAAGTCCCAATCTCACTTGTAGACAAATATTTCCCTTCATCAGTTTACTTAATGTGCCCATCTCAACAGATTCATGATCTTCCTCGGCTTTTCTCATCATGCTTTGTCTTCCATTCTGCAGTTGGGGAGAGATGCTGAATATCCATCCTAAAGGGCCCTTGGCCAATGGTAGGGATTCCACCGTCTCCGTTACTACAGGGGGTTCACACTAAGCAAGGGTAAATGTACACAAAGCAGGAAGGGATGGCCCCGTGACCAGAGGACTTCCCAGTATCAAGGATGAGGTTTATTAAATAAAGGCCAGGTAAGCTGAAACCGTATTTACTTAAAAAGGAATGCTGTGATTCCTCAAAGAAAGCATGGATTTCTCAAAAACAAGTTATGCCCGACTCATCTCATATTTTTGATAGAGCTACAAACTTGGTAGATGCAGGGAATGCAGCGGAGGGAGAGATCTGGATTCCAGCAAGGCCTTCCTTTGACAAAGTCCCTCATGGCCTTCTTGGTTAATAATAATAATAATAATAATAATAATAATAATAATAATAATAATATTTATTTGTATCTCACCACCATCTCTCCGGAGGGACTCAGGGTGGCTCACAGAAGCACTCAATGGTGCAACGTGCACAAAACACAACAAGCACGTAGCAATAAGACAATTACAACATACATTTATAACCAAATACATAAAATACATAAAACGTCATATAAAGTCATACTAATTAAAAACTGAATAAAATGCAGTATTGTAAATATAAAATAATCGAATAAGTATCAGTCCTATAAAGTGCGGGGGAAAACAAATCACTCAGTCCTTGGGTTAATCAATTGAGATTCCGGCCATGGTGAAGCGGCCAAGCCCAAAGGGAGCTTCTCCCCAGTGGTCCTCCCTCTTCATCCTGGAAAGAAGTGACCACTGGCGTGCCATGAAGAAGGTCCAGTCCTGGGCCCAGTCCTGGTCAACATCGGTATTAATGACGTGGGCAAAGGTTTAGAGGGCGTGCTTATCAAGTTGGAAGAGGACACCAAATCAGAAGGGAGCGCTAATACTCCAGAAGACAGGATCAGGATTCAAAACAACTTCAACAAATTAGAGAGATGATTGGCCAAAACTCCCAAAATGAATTTCAACAAGGACAAATGTAAGATATGACACTGAGGCAGAAGAAAAGAAATGCAGAGATACAGAATGAGTGACACTTGCCTCGAGAATAGACTTCTATGTTGAAAAAGGTCTTAGAGTCTTCGTGGGGAACAAGGTGGACACGAGCCAACAGTGTGATGCAGCAGCTCAAAAAGCCAATGGGATGTTGGGCTGCATCAAAACGAGTCGAGTGTCCAGGTCGAGGGCAGTCATGGTACCTCCTTATTCTGCTTTGGTCAAACCCCTTGACCTGGAATCACACTGTGTCCTATTACGGGCACCACAACTTAGAGGAGATATTGACTCCCAAGCTGGAGAGTGAACAGAGGAAGAGGGCAACTCAATGAATCAAAGATCTGAAGACCACGAATCCCTAGGAGGACGGCCTTAAACAGCTAAGTCTGTTTAGCCTCAGAAGAGAAGGTTGACTTCAGGAGACATGAGAGCCAGGAGTAAATACACGAAAGAATGCCACAAGGAAGAGGGAACAGGCTCGTTTTCTGCTGCCCAGGAAACCAGGACTCGGAGCCATGGAATTTCAAACAAAATTCCACCTGAACATTAGGAAGAACTTCCTGACCGGGTTGTTGTAGGTTTTTCCAGGCTATATGGCCATGTTCTGGAGGCAATTTTTCTCCTGACGTTTCGCCTGCATCTCTGGCAAGCATCTTCAGAGGTAGTGAGGTCTGTTGGAAGTAGGAAAAATGGGTTATATATCTGTGGAATGACCAGGGTGAGACAAAGGACTTTTGTCTGCTGGGGCTAGGTGTGAATGTTTCAGCTGATCACCTTGATTAGCATTCAATGGCTTGGAAGTGCCCGGGGGGAATCCCTTGTTGAGAGTGATTTTATGTGCCTGTTTGTTTCCCCTCTGTTGTTTTGCTGTTGTGATTTTTGAGTCCTTTAATACTGGTAGTCAGATTTTGTTCATTTTCATGGTTTCCTCCTTTCTGTTGAAATTGTCCACATGCTTGTGGATTTCAATGGCTTCTCTGTGTAGTCTGACATGGTGGTTGGTGTGGTCCAGCATTTCTGTGTTCTCAAATAATATGCTGTGTCCAGGCTGGTTCATCAGGTGCTCTGCTATGGCTGACTTCTCTGGTTGGAGTAGTTTGCAGCCTTTCATGTTCCTTGATGCGTGTCTGGGCAATGCTGCGTTTGGTGGTCCCTATGGAGACCTCTTGTCCACAGCTGCATGGGATACAATGGTAGACTCCTGCAGAGGTGAGAGGATCCCTCTTGTCCTTTGCTGAACGTAGCATTTGTTGGATTTTCTTGGTGGGTCTGGAGATAGTTTGTATGTTGTGTTTCCTCATCAGCTTCCCTCTGCGGTCAGTGGTTCCCTTGATTATGGCAAGAACCTTTTCCTCTGGGTGGATCTTCATCTTGACTCTCGTGGCTTGTTCTCGGTTGTCTTGCAGCTCTTCTGATGTCCGAGGTGGAGTCTCCATTGGCCTGGAGAGCCCAGTTGAGGTGGTTCAGTTCATCTTGGAGGAGGTGGGCTTCGCAGATTCTTTTTGCACGGTCTGCCAAGGCTTTAATGGTGCTTCTTTTTTGACTTGGGTGATGGTTGGAGTTTTTATGTAGATATCTATCTGTGTGTGTGGGTTTTCTGTAAACGGTGTGACCCAATTATTGATCTGGTTTACGGATGACTAGGACATCTAGAAAAGGCAGTCTTCCTTTTCTTTTCTACGCAAAATAAGTCTCTCCAGAACTTTGTAGAGGTGGCACAACAGGGAGATTGGTCTGTAGCTTTTTGTGTCATTACGGTCTTTGCCTGGCTTCAAGATGGCGATGACTCTTGCTTTCCTCCAGATTTTGGGGATCTGACAGGATGCAGTGCAGTTGTTCATCAGCTCCAGCAGCCAGCGCCTTGCTTTTGGACCAAAGTTCTTGATTTGTTCCATCCGTAGATCATCCAGGCCAGCTGCTTTGCCATTCTTACATTTATTGAGAGCCATGTCCAATTCAGTAGATGTAAAGGGTTCATGAAGGTTGTTGTTCTCAATCTCTGGTTGTCTGGCTATTGGTTTCTTTCCTACTTTGGTGGCAAGGTTGGTTTTCCCATTCTTCAAGAGTTGGTGTGCTATCTGATCTGCCTTTATGTTGGCATGGGTATTAGTTTGTGAGGGGTCATTGCTCAACCGTCTTAGCAGCCTCCACGCCTTCTGGCTGCTCCTGCCCATGTCGACCTCTGTGATCAGCTTGATCCACTGTTCTTTCTTGGCTTCAGAGATGGAGGACACAATGCTCTGCGCTGCCGGAAGGGTTTGCTCACTAAATGGGTCTTTGTTGTGGAGCCTGTAATAGTTTTCCAACAAGGCAGCTGTTTCAGGAGTATGCCCTGAAGGTAGTTGGTTCTGCAGCCTCTCGGTATCGAGGCCCGTGAGCAGGTTTTCATGATTTCAATAAAATGCTGGTATTCCTCAGGGATTGGCGCGACCGATATGATCATGTCATCTAACATGTCTGAGAATTTAGTCCAATCTGCCTTTCTGAAGATGAATCTTTGTTTAAATCGAACTTTTTGAGGCCTTATGGTTGGGAACAATTGGCATACTATTGGTCGGTGCTGTGTGTTTGGAATTGGTGGTCCCACTGATTTAGTGCATTGCTGTACGATGCTGTCGCTCACAAATAGGAGGTCTGGGTTGTAACCTCGGTGCCATCTCCCGGTGTTGTAGGATGGTGGGAGCTTACTATCATGGATGAGTGATAGTTTGTGCAGTTCAGACCAGGAGAGGACAGCCTCTCCATTTTTGCCATATATATGTTGAGCTCTGCCCTGAGTCCCCTTCGGGCTGAGAAGAGCGGAATATAAATGTTTTAAATAAATAATAAATAATAATAGCACATGCACAGAGAGAAAACAATTACAAGAATCGAAAGTTAAAATGCCTATAAAACAGAAGCTAAATCAAAGCATGGTGCGATGCTCCGTTTATGAATGTTCACTGTGATGTTTATTGTGATTGAATAGACACACTAAAAGATCTCCAACTCTGGTGATTGACTGAGTCTTGAAATTTCCAGAGATTTATGTTGGTTGCCTGGCAAAGGGAAACAGGATCTGGGTAATTTCAGTATGGGCTGTTCAACAGTGGAACTCTCTGCCTCAGCATCTGGTGGAAGCTCCTTCCTTGGAGGCTTTTAAACATTGGCTGGATGGCCATCTTTTCGGCTGGCTTTGAATGCCTTTTTCCTGCATGGCAGAAAGGGTTGGACTGGATGGCCCTGTGGTCTCTTACAATGCTATTCTTCTATGATTCTATAAGAAAACAGGCATCCTGAAATTTTTCAGTGTCTAACTAAAATAAGACAACGGCAGCACAAAATCCGAGGTCAAGAGTCCAATTGATGCAGACAAGCTGAATACTATGGACTCAGGTCAGGAGCAAAACTAAGCACCAGCCAAGGTGACAATAGTCCAACAGTCAGGGGCCAGGAGTTCAATCATCAGAGTTCATAAAAGAACCACCAAGAATGCAAGAGTACAAACCAAAGTCAGAGTTCCAAAGTCAAGCCGGATCGTGAGGGATATAAACCGAGGTTGAATAAATCAAGCCAGAAAGTCAGCCCAGAACTCAGGCCAATGATTCAGGGTATGACAGAGTCCAGAAGCGGGCGACAGGAGCAAGGCCAGAGTCCAGAATGGAAACCGAGGGGCATTAGAGCCAAGACTCAGGACAACAGTATGGAAGGATGCCATTGCCTGCTCCCAAAGAGTTCGTCTTTTAAAGAACCCCTTTATCCTAAGATCTCAGCTGCTCTCATTTCAGCAAGCTTTCACAGATCATCCCAGAAGTCTATGATGCTTTCCTTGAGGAGGCAGAGGTCAGGTTAACGCCTTAAAAATGGCTGCAATACTGTGGGGAACTTGCCCCCAGCAGCAATCAAGCCAGGCCACACAGAACAAGGTGGTGGCCTTCCTCTTTGCTTCCATTCTCCCATTCTTTGCCTGCCTGTGTGTCATATGGTGTGCAGTTGATGGTGGTTGGTGATGGAAGGGTTAATGTGAGTATAAGTTCTAGAGGGTTTGGTAATCTGTAAGTGGGAGTTCATGGGTGAAAGCAATTAGGGGTGGAGGTGTGCAGGAGATGGGTTGCAGCTAGGTGTTACTGGATTTAAGGAGCTAACCTTGAGACTGATCTTTGGGAGAAAGGTATCTGTTGTATTTTGGTGGTGGATGCTGCTGGTTTTTCCCCCAGGTCTGTTGGATTTTTGACCTGTCTTCTTGTAATCTTGGAATTCTGGAACCTTGAACCTTTGGACTGGCTTTTGACTATGGTATAGACTCTTGATCCCTGGACTTTGTTTATCGAACTCTCGGCATTTGACCACTGGACTGGACCCTTTTGACTATGAAGTTAATTTTTGCTATCAGTTTTTGTTTATTCTGTAGCTGCGTGCTAGCTTTGTGTTTTATATTTTGGTCTATTAAAACAGCCAGCCAGCAAGTAAGTGCTGTTTTAATTAAACTGTTTGATAAAACTGGGAGTTTGATTCATCTCTACCTAAATAAGGCAGAGCCCTGGCAATGTGACACTGTTGAGGGATGGGTCCCTTGTCTGGTGATTTTTTTTAGAAGAACTAGAAAACTCAAAGGCAGGTCTCTTCCCCTAGCTGTGTGTGTGTCATTTGATGGGAATGTAGAATTTCACTCCAACAGAAGCTCTTTCCATATTCCATGCATATATCAAAGCAGTGGAGATATGACTTCTCCATTGTGTGGGAGCTCTGGTGGGAATGGAGCTCTCGACTCCTAATGAAGCTATTTCCACATTCAATGCTATTATGTGGCATCCCCCCTGTGTCGCTCCTTTGGTGGAAACATAGCTCTCCACTCCCAATGAAGCTCTTTCCATAGTCAGTGAATTTATGTGACTTCTCCCCTGTGTGGGTCCTTTGATGGGAACGCAGACTGTCACTCCGACTGAATCTCTTTCCACATTCCATGCATGTATATGGCTTCTCTCCTGTGTGGGTCCTTTGATGACAACGGAGAAGTCCACTGTGACTGAATGACTTTCTACATTCCATGCACTGATACGGCTTCTCCCCTGTGTGAGTCCTTTCATGGGAACGCAGATATCCACTTTTACTGAAGGTCTTTCCACATTCCATGCATAGATATGGTTTCTCCCCTGTATGGATCCTTTGGTGGGAACGCAGATCTCCACTCTGACTGAAGCTCTTTCCACATTCTATGCATTTATATGGCTTCTCCCCTGTATGGGTCCTTTGGTGAGAATGCAGCGGTCCACTTTGACTGAAGGATTTTCCACATTCCATGCATTGATATGGCCTCTCCCCTGTGTGGGTCCTTTGATGGGAATGCAGTTGCGCATTTTGACTGAAGCTCTTTCCACATTCCATACATAGATACGGCTTCTCCCCTGTGTGGGTCCTTTGATGGGAACGCAGATCTCCACTCTGACTGAAGCTCTTTCCACACTCGATGCATTGATATGCCTTCTCTCCTGTGTGGGTGCTTTGATGGGAACGCAGATCTGCACTGTGACTGAAGCTCTTTCCACATTCCATGCACGGATATGGCTTCTCTCCTGTGTGGGTTCTTTGATGGGAACGCAGAGCTCCACTCTGATTGAAGCTCTTTCCACATTCCATGCATGTATATGGCTTCTCCCCTGTGTGGGTCCTTTTATGGCGACACAGAGTTGCACTGTGACGGAAGCTCTTTCCACATTCCATGCATGTATATGGCTTCTCTCCTGTGTGGGTCCTTTGGTGGGAACGCAGATCTCCACTCTGACTGAAGCTCTTTCCACATTCCGTGCATTGATACGGTTTCTCTCCTGTGTGAGTTCGTTGATGTTTAATAAGAGAACTTCTCCACATGAAACATTCCCCACAGTCCATACACTTATGTAGCTTCTTCACTGTGGGTGATGTGGAACACAGATACAGATGATTTTCCATTCTTTTAAAAGTATGATTTAAATATTATGTCAGAGATTCGCAGATATGTTCTCCAAAACAGCAGAGGATTTCCTCTTCTCGGTATTTGTATTGCCGTAGCCTTCTGGTCTCTTTCCTAAGTCCCTCTTTTAACGGCACAATCCTCCCTTTCGTCTATGTATTTCGCTTGAAATATGTCTGTCTCCTACTTATTCCTTGTTCTTGCCAGTGCTGGGACCCTTCATTTCAGTCCTAAGGCATCCCTAGGGCAAAGCTCTCACAGGGTCTTCTTCATAAGGTTTGTTCAGAGGTTACCTGCCAGATGAATGAGAGGAAAACCAGACTTATTCATCTATCCCTTCATTGCTCAATTTTCAAGATGGCTGCCCTTTCCATATTTCATCTCCCAATATCCAAAATGGCGTCCCTTTCCCAATATCCCAGATGGCCAATTTATTAATTAATCCAAATAACCAGGATTGCTGCCTGCTCCATATTTCCCCTCCCAGTATCCAAGATGGCTAACTTCTCAATGAATTCTTCCTTCTGCTAATTTCCGAGGCAGCCAACTTGTTAATGAATCCCTATCTCAATATCCAAGTTGACTGAATTATTAATGTATCCCTCCCACTCAAAATCTAAGATGGCCACCCTTTCCCAATATCCAGTATGACTTCCCTCTCCAATATATCCCTCCTGCCAATCTCCAAGATGACTGACTTCTTAATGTATCACTCTCAATATCCAAAATGACTGACATCTGAATACTGCTCCATCTCCCATTATCCATGATGTATCCTTCATTCTACCAATATCCAAGATGTCCAACTTCTTAATGAATCCTACTTCCCAATACCCAAGATGGTCACTCTATCAATGAACCCTTCAATTAATAATAATAATAATAATAATAATAATAATAATAAACTTTTTTATACCCCGCCTCCATCTTGGGGTGGCTTACATGAGGCCACGCCCATCAATACAGTAAACACAATATAACACAAAAGCATAACGGAAAATAAAATAATAAGATGCAAAACCAATATAATAAGCAACACGGCAATATAAAATCAAACATTAAAACACAAATGATTACACTGGGCAGGGCCAAATTCAAAGATAAAATTTTAAAACACTGGGAGATAGGACAATGTAAAAATATCAGGAGGGGGGATGAGGTAGGATTTAATTTACCATTATTTAAGATGGACGACTTATGTATCCCTCTCCCAATATCCAGGATGGCTGACTTCTTAATGTATATCTCTCTCCTCCCAGTACTCAAGATGGCTGTCCTTTTCCAATATCCAAGATGGCTAATTTCTTAACTAATCCCTCTCTCAATATCCAAGATGGCTGCCCTCTCAATATATCCTTCATTCTACCGATATCCAAGATGGCCAGCTTACTAATGTACCTTTCATTCAAACAATATCCAAGATAGCTGACTTATTAATATATCTCTTCCTTTCTCAATATTCAAGATGGCTACCCTCTCAATGTAGCCTTCATTCGATCAATATTCAAGATGGCCGACTTATTGATGTATCTCTCTCTCAATGTGTTAAGAGTATAATTCAATTTTTGTAAAGGAAGAACTCTTTCCTTCACTGTGAAAAATGAAGGAAATACTGAGCAGCATTCCATGGATGCAGATACTAAAAGACAAAGGAGTTATGGATGGATGGGAATTTTTCAAGAATTAAGTACTCAAGGCGCATTTGCAAACAGTGCCAACAAAGAGAAAAAATAAAACAAAAGCAAAGAAGCCAAAATGGATGTCAAAAGAACTTCTAGCTGGGCTAAGGTTCAAAAGAAACACGAACAAGAAGTGGAAAAGGGGAGAAATCACCAAAGAAGAATTCTTTTAGCCAGCAGTGATTGACTGTTGCAGGGCAGAATTTAGGAAAGACTGGGAACCCTTCAAAAGGTTTTTAGAAGGAAAGGCTATTTCAACATGTGGATTCCAAGACTGACTAATACAAAATCCTGGTTTTCATCAAATAGTTTGACTTCCTTCTGAAGAAAGAAATGATGAGGAATCCTTTGTGGCTCTTTCGGTGTGACCTTCTTTTCCATGGTATATGTGTTATGGTGGAACTCCTGAGATGTGAATATTATGTGGATGTTTAGAAAAGGGATTATGTATGGGTGTCAAGAAAAGAAAGGGAAGGGAGAAAAGGGGGGAAAAAAGAAAAGGGGAAGAATAAAAAAAGAAATATGTAATACTATGCGGACAAGCTGGAATGCTATAAAATAGAAAAAAGTGATTCCCGGAAAAGTTAATATGTTGGCATAATGCTAATGAAGCATTTCATTATAGTTTTGGACATCTTTCAATTTACGCAAATTGGGTTGTTGCAGTTGTCCATGCCTGTGTATGTAAAATAGTCAGAAAGCTCTAGTCATAAGAGAGTACTTTGTTGCCTGCTCCCATTCTTATGTTTTTTTTTATTGATGTAATATCAAGATGTATTTGGACATACTCTGAAACCGTCTTAATCATGAAGATATATTTCTTGCCTTGTAAGGAATTTAAAAAAAAAAGATACATTGGCATTTTTATTTTTTTTGCATATGATATGGGGGGGAGGGGGAGTAGCTGGTGGCACTATTGCTGTTAGCTAGATGGAAACAGTTCTAGTTAGGAATAGTTTGCTTGGATTTTCCTTTGAAAGTGCCTTAAACTCGAGTGAATGGTAAAATACGTTATACTTACTTTGTACAAGTTGCCATCTACATACAGATCTAGACATGTTTCATTATTTCTGAACGTATATTTACTGATTATATATGAGATTGTGTCAAATAATTAAAAAACAGGAAAAAAATAGCTGCTGGGAGTGTTTGCTTTGTTTGAGAGGCGGGGCAAGGCTAAATTCTTTTAGCCAGCAGTGATTGACAGTTGCAGGGCAGCAATTAGTGGCTCATTGTTCTGGCAGTGAGTCATTCCTGTTTAACCTATATAAACTCACACACTCACTAACCTACACCTTCACCCGTGCATACAGACAACAAGATAAAACACACACTAAAGGGGAGGTAATTAGCAGTCTGCAGATGGAACAATCACAAAAACTTCCCATCTCATGCCCAAGCTGTGGCATGTTCAGCTTTTTCATGCAACAATTACTCAATTACATCTGCCCCAAGTGTAAACAGATCACTCACATGGAACAGAGGATTCAACAACGTGAGGACCCCTTGGTAGTTTGGCTCGGCGTTTCGGCCTGGACTGCTACCAATATGCGGACGACACCCAACTCCTTCTGCGTTTGGAGCCAGGAGCAATGTCAATTCCAGACAATTTCACCCTCTGTCTGGAAGCTCTGTCGAACTGGCTATCTGCTAGCAGACTGAAGGTGAACCAGGCAAAGACTGAGATTCTATGGCATGGCCGCCCGGCAGGTCTGACTCCTCCGTTGCCCACCTTCGATGGTGCCGCCCTATCTCCATCGACCACTGTTAAGAGTTTGGGTGTCGTCCTGGATTCACAGCTGACAATGGAAGCTCAGGTGGCTGCTGCCAGCAAACAGGCCTTTTTCCATCTACGACAAGCGAGGCAACGGGCACCCTCCCTATCTGACGAGGCTCTGGCAACGGTCATCCATGCCACGGTCACGTCTAAGCTGGACTATTGCAACGCCCTGTATGTCTACGACCCGAAAGCTCCGTATTGTTCAGAACGCGGCAGCCAGGTTACTCACAAGAACGCCCATGAAATGCCATAGAACACCTTCAGTGCTGCAACACTTACACTGGCTTCCCACTGAGTACCACCGTGGCCTGTCTAAGATGCTAGTTCTGACCTTTCAAACTCTTTACGGCCAGGGTCCATCGTACCTTGGGGACCGCCTCCCCTTCTCCCATCATCGGATGTCGCAACGACCAGCCCAATGTGACTTACTCCATATCCCGGGTCCTAGAGAAGTGCCCTTGGAAAGGACCAGGCGCAGGCGGGCTTTCTCTATTTCTGCCCTTCCTGCCTTATTGTGGAATTCCTTGCCGCCCTACGTGAGAGCCACGCGTGACTTCGGGCCTTTTTACTCTCGCACTCAAGACACCTGGCTTTTCGCTAGAGCATTCGATCTCCGTTGATTTTTAAATTCCGTATGTATGTATTTTATCTTTTACAATTTAGCTGTAAATCGCCTAGAGCATTTTCGGATGGAGGGCGATTAATAAGTAATTAAATGATGATGATGGTGATGATGATGATGATGATGATGATGATGAAAAAAGCAAGCCACATCCCAAGGTTCCTTTCTCTCTCCATTGGTCTGGAATTTGCATGGCCCCGCCCACTGCCCCTCTCTCTCAGCCCTTTCCTACCCTTTCCTACGGCACACAGCTAACAGAGGAATTGATTAGCAAGCGAACATACTGGAGGGGGTGAGGGACTGACTGAACAGGATGGAAGTTGCAGTTCACCCTGCATCAAGACACAGCGCTGTGACCCCCACCCACAATGGGCCTGGACCACATTTGCCACACAGAACTCCCAGGACCAGGTTTGGGGGGAATTGACGTTGGTTTATAGGAGTCGTAGGGATTGGGACGTATAGTTCACCTGGATTCTAAGAGCCCTCTGAACCCCACCAACGATGGGCCTGGAACTAACTTAGAACACAGAACTCCCATTACCAACTGAACATACTGTAGAGGTTTGTGGGAGCAGACCTTGATTTTGGGAGTTATAGTTCACCCTTATCCAGAGAGCACTGAGCCCAGGCGATGTTGGATCTGGACCAACAGACCCAACATGGCCCAACATGGCCAACTTTGTATACTGGTGGGGTTTGGGGGTGATAGACCTTGACATCCAGGAGTTATTGTTCACCTGTATTCAGAGAACACTGAACCCAGCAGATGACAGATCTGGACCAAACTTGGCACACAGACCCAACATGGCCATTGGGGAATACTGATAGACCGGGGGGGGGGGGGGGACATTTAACTCTGGGAGTTATAGTTCACCTGGATTCCGTGAACTCTCAGCAATGATGGATCTGGACCAAACTTGGACCAAATAGACCGAACACTGCCAATTTTGCATAGTGGGGAACTTTGGCGATTGACCTTGGCATCAGAGTTATAGTTATTATTACTATTAAACTTTATTTGTACTCGAGTGCAAGGCAAGCCCGCACTCGATGCGGCTTACAAAGGCCAAGGCCTCAACACAACAACAACAAACAATAACAATATGGTGCAAAGCAAATTAAAAACATAAGCAATAACACAACAAAACATTACATCATTACGCAATAAAACCAGGGCTGGGCCAGTGATGGGTACAGGTTAAAAAGTGCTGGGTGTGGCTGGTGGTACATTGGATTTCTGAGCAAGTGCAGAGTGCAGAGAGCCTTAAACTCTAATCAAGTGCTTCTGGGATGTAGAGCTGGGGGTTATCCTACTCCGGAAAGGCACATCGGAATAGCCAGGTCTTCAAGTTCTTCCTAAAGACTGCCAACGTGGGTGCTAATCTAATGTCTTTGGGGAGGGTGTTCCAAAGTCGGGGGGCCACCACAGAGAAGGCCCTGTCCCTCGTCCCCACCAAACGCGCCTGCGACGCAGGTGGGAGAGTGAGCAGGGCCTCTCCGGATGAACGAAGTGAGAGCAGTTCAGGGCTTTGTAGGTGAGCACCTGCACCTTGAATTGGGCTGGGTAGTTCACCCAGATTCAGAGAGCACTGAGCTCAGCAAGTGATGGATCTGGGCCAAGCTTGGCACACAAACCCAACACGGCCAGCTGTGGACCCTGGAGTGGCAGGGTGTTGTTGGGGAGGGTGCGCGCCCCCATACCCGGGTGCCTTTCCTAAGGGGAGCGGTGGTGCGGGATCCGAGGAGGGAAAGGAATGACTGGAGGGCGGGGGAGGGGGAGGGGGGAGGGAGGGAGGGGGAGGGACCCGGCGTCCCGGCTGCGGAAGGGAGGGAGGGGGCCATGCGGGGCGGGGCGGGGCGAGGGGGGGGGGCCTCCACGGCCACCCAGGGGACCCTCCCCTCCCCCCCTCGGAGGACCCCCCCCTCCTCCTCCTCCTGGCCTCATTCAATGAGCCCCCTCTGGTGAGAGATTGCCAAGGTCTCTTCTCTCTGTACCTCTCTCTCTCTCTCTCTCTCTCTCTCTCTCTCGTGCCCTCCTCCTCCTTCCGCCTTGGCCGCCGCTCAGCCCCTCCTCCTCCTCCTCCTCCCCTTCTGCTTCTTCACAATGCTGCTGCCCCCCCCCCCCCCCCCCGGAAGCAGGGCCTTTCTAGGAAGCAGGGGCCTCCCCCTCTTGTTGGACTTCCACCCCCCCCCCCAAAGACGGCGCCCGGGGGCTGCGCGGCCGGATTTTGGGGGTTGTAGTCTTGGGCAGAGAGAGAGGTGAAAACCCTGCCACAACTCCAGTCTCCAGGATATCGTTGTCATTATTCCACAGAGATATAATAAACCCTTTTTCCTAATTCCAACAGACCTCACTACTACCTCTGAGGATGCTTGCCATAGACGCAGGCGAAACGTCAGGAGAGAATGCCTCTAGAACATGGCCCTATAGCCTGAAAAAAAACCTACAAGGACATATAATCACCTCTCAACAAAAGATTGCCCCAGGCACTGCCAGGCCATCAAATGCTAATCAAGGTGGTCAGTTGAAACATTCACACCCTCAGCAGACAAGAGTCCTTTGTCCCACCCTGGTCATTCCACAGATATATAAACCCTTTTTCCTAGTTCCAACAGACCTCACTACCTCTGAGGATGCTTGCCATAGATGCAGGCAAAACGTCAGGAGAGAATGCCTCTAGACCATGGCTATATAGCCTGAAAAAAACCTACAAAACAATCAGAGACAGCTAATCACCTCTCAACAAAAGATTCCCTCAGGCATTAACAAGCCACACCAAAAAACTGCCAGGCCATCAAATGCTAATCAAGGTGGTCAGTTGAAACATTCACACCTAGCTCCAGCAGACAAGAGTTCTTTGTCCCACCCTGGTCATTCCACAGATATATAAACCCCTTTTCCTAGTTCCAACAGACCTCACTACTCCCTCTGAGGATACTTGCCCTAGATGCAGGCGAAAGGTCAGGAGAGAATGCCTCTCTAGACCATGGCCATATAGCCCCCCAAAAACCCACAAGAACCCAGTGATTCCGGCCATGAAAGCCTTCGACGACACATTATCCGGCCCACTGTTTCTATTCTGAGAGGTGAATGGGAAGCCCAAGCGGCCCCCCCGCCCCCGCCCCCTGGTGGACACACGGGAGCATTGCGGCGCTGGCCTTGAGGGTCCGCTCTGCAGCCCTTGCCTGCCATCGGGTGGCCGAAAAGGGAAATGCACCTCTAGGTTATAGGCAACAAATGAATAATAAAAATTTGGGGGGGGGGGGTGTCCAAATAATAATGATATGATGGCAACAGTTTTGGACAGCAATGGCTCCCAAAGTGACCCATTTAAGGTGGAATCCGGTGCCAAACAGGGATGTGTTATTATTGCCCCAACTCTATTCTCCATCTTCATCGCTATGAGACTTCACCTTGTTGGCGGGAAGATTCCCACCGGAGTGGAAATAATCTATCGGACAGATGGCAAGCTATTCAACCTCAGCAGACTGAAAGCCAAGACCAAAGTTACAACAACATCTGCTATAGAACTCCAGTATGCTGATGACAATGTCGTCTGTGCGCATACAGAAGAAGATCTAAAAGCCACTGTAAACACCTTCGCAGAAGCATACACAAAGCTTGTCACTGAACAAGAATAGAGAAAACCAAAGTGCTGTTCCAGCAGACACCAGCCATCCCCTCCCCAATGCCAGAGATACAGCTTAATGGTGTAACATTAGAAAATGTGGACCATTTCCACTCCCTTGGCAGCCACCTCTCCACAAAAGTCAACATCGATACCGAAATACAACACAGCCTGAGCTCTGCGAGTGCAGCATTTTTCCGAATGAAGCTGAGAGTGTTTGAGGACCGGGACATCCGTAGGGATACCAAGGGGCTTGTCTACAAAGCTATTGTCCTCTCAGCCCTGCTCTATGCCTGCGAGACGTGGACTGTCTACAGACGTCACATGCAACTCCTGGAACGATTCCATCAGCGCTGCCTCCGGAAAATCCTGCAAATCTCTTGGGAAGACAAGCAGAGAAACGTCAGCATGCTGGAAGAAGAAGCAAAGACCACCAGCATTGAAGCAATGGTCCTCCGCCACCAACTCCGCTGGACCGGCCACGTTGTCCGGATTCCCCGACCACCGTCTCCCAAAGCAGTTGCTCTACTCCGAACTCAAGAACGGAAATTGGAATGTTGGAGGGCAGGAAAAGATATTTAAAGATGGGCTCTAAGCCAACCTTAAACACTCTGGCATAGACACTGAGAACTGGGAAGCCCTGGCCCTTGAGCGCTCCAGCTGGAGGTCAGCTGTGACCAGCAGTGCTGCAGAATTTGAGGAGGCACGAGTGGAGGGTGTAAGAGAGAAACGTGCCAGGAGGAAGGCACGTCAAGCCAACCCCAACCGAGACCGCCTTCCACCTGGAAACCAATGCCCTCACTGTGGGAGAAGATGCGGGTCAAGAATAGGGCTCCACAGCCACATACGGACCCACAAGGAAATCCATAATGGAAGACCATCTTACTCGTCCAACAAGGGATCGCCTAAGTAAGTAAGTAATATCCTAATATATTCTCCAAAGTCATCAACAAAATAAAAAACCAAACAAAATAATATTTAAACTATCCAAAATAATAATAAAAAGGAAAAATCAAAATAATAATAAAATATTATCAAAAATATTATCCAGATCCATCTTGTTTGCGTCCACAGTGCTCCCTGCATGTAGGTGAACTACAACTCCAAAACCTCAAGGTCAATGCCTACCAAACCCTTCCATTATTTATTGTTGGTTATGGGAGTTCTGTGTGCCCAGTTTGGTTCAATTGCATCATTGGTGGAGTTCAGAATGCTCTTTGTTTGTAGGTGAAATACCAGCAACTACAACTCCCAAATGACAAAACCTATCCCACTGCAACTCCAGCAGTATTCAGATTTGGGCATATCGGTTATTTGTGCCAAATTACGCCCATTAATTTGAAAAATAGGATCCATGTTAGTGTTATTTAACTCAAATCAACCTACACTTTGTGCAAGTTATAAACGTTCTAATAGTATCATCTACACTTGAACAAGACCAGCTTTCCACTTCTGTAGGGAGTAAGTTTCTCTGCTGGCTGGAGGGGGCTGGACCCAATTCCCTTTGGGGGTCTCTGGCATCTCATTCCCTGGAGCTATTTAAACAGGCCGGATGGCCGTCTTCTGGGAGGGCTTTCCCTGGTCTTCCTTCCTAGCCGAAAGGGCTTGGGCTGGGTGGCCTTAGTGATTTATCACATGGGTGTCCTACTGTTCTTTCCATAGACACAAAGTCCTCAGTCATTCCAGAAACAGGGACATTTCAGAGCCAATCCCCCACATATAGACACCAGAGTATCAGAAGCACGTTGGCTACCTCTCACTTAATGGTCCAATAACCACAGAAACCTTAAAGTCTTTAGAATGATAGAATAACGTTATTGTCTCTGTACATTGTACAATAAAAGGAAATGAATTCCCCAACAGGCATCACAAAAACAACATACCCATCCCTCCACACTTCAAGCACCAACCACCATTTCAGAAGGAAGGTCTGTTTCTGTGCACGGGTCGCTCCCATTTTGACACAACATCACACAACATCAGTTCTTTTGGATCTTTTATTGGGGGATAAGATACAATGTCAGGGCTTGGGGAAAGGAAAGGAAAGGCATTGAGGCTTGCTCGTCCCTGCCTGGGCTGGCTGCTGGAGGCACATTTCATCAGTGGATTGCAATTGCGGAGCCCGGGAACTGTGGAACTCTCCGCTGCGGTTTTTATACCAATTTGAAGGCGGGGGTCTCTGCAGCCCTCGATGTCAATCCCTCCACACTTCAAGCACCAACCACCATTTCAGAAGGAAGGTCTGTTTCTGTGCACGGGTTGCTCCCATTTTGACACAACATCACACAACATCAGTTCTTAATAGCAAAATACTCAGTTTATTTCTTTGTTTTTAGTCTCTTCCTTTTGAGCTGCTCTTAAATTTCTTTGAAGAAGAATCTATAACTTGAATTCTGCAAGTAGGCAGCTGAAGAGTGGCAGGATGATGCTGTGGAAAAGGGAAGGGGAAGGGAGAGGAGAAGGAGGGGGAACCGGAAGGGGAAGGGAGGGGGAAGGGGGAGGGGGGTAAGGGAAGGTGAGGGGAGGTGGGAGGTGGAGAAGAAAGGAAAGAAAGAAAGAAAGAAAGAAAGGGAAAAAGAAAAATAGAAAGCAAAGGATACGGAGAAAAAGAAAAGAGAAACAGAAAGAGAAAACAAAGGAGAAGATGGATGTAAAAAAACCTACCGCTCAATTTCAGTATTGAATATTGATGATAAATTATTTGCTAATATCTTGGTAGAAAGACTAAAGCACTTTCTAATGGATAAAGGAAGAACAATGGGGCTTCCTCCCGTAACGAAGAATGAATGATAACGTCAGAACCATGACAAACATCATTCTGAAAAGAACAACGATAAAGAATGTGCGTTCGTAGCGCTAGACGCGGAGAAGGCCTTCAACAACATAAATTGGAAGTCCTTCATCTAACTCATGCAAGAATTCGATATGGGGCACTACTTCATAAATGCCATAAAATCGGTATAGAATAAGCAAGGAGCGTTGTAAGATCCTCCTCGATAAGAATTTGGGGAAAGTAGAAAAGCAGATTTCATTTTTTTTAAAACCTCTGAATACCCACCGTGGAAGCGGTACAGAGGAGAGATCTAGGGTGGGAAAGGTGGCTCAGATACAAAGAGAGACAGTGAACCCAAACAATAGTTATGCTAAAGACCCAGGAAGAAATCAGAAAACTATATGGAAATCTCTCATGGTTCCAATACAGACAGCTGAAGGAGGCCTTCAACAAGGACAAGAAATTAGGATTTGAAGAAGGAGGAAAACTATGGGACAAGATAATGGTATCACAGACAAAAGTGATGACTAAAATATATAAAGCCCTTCTAACATGGTCAGCTGAAAAGGAAGAAATTAAAGATTGCTTCACAAAGTGAGCAGCAAATATTGGACACACTCTATGAATGACTGATTGGGAAAAGAATTTGGAGCAAGAAAGTGAAATCTACCAACTCTTACGACCTAGGCGAGAATCGGATCAAAGTCTGAAACTGAGGTGAAGAAGAGGTAGACGGAGGCGTGAGAGGGGCCTGAGAAAAGAAAGGAGAAGGCCAAAAGAGAAGGAGGAAAGAAAAAGTGAACAGAGAAGGGCAAAGGGAAGAGGGAGAGGAGAGAGACGAAAGGAGGGAGAAGAGAGAGAAAGAAGGGAAAGGAGGCAGGTGAGTGAGAATGTGAGGGATGTGAGATGTGTAGAGTGTGGGAGAAGAAAAAGGTAAAAGAGAGGGAAAAAACCAGAAAAAAAGCAAAATATAAATGAGAGATGTGAGATGTGCATGGTGTATGTGATGTGTGTGCAGTATAATGTGCACAATTTGTGTGGTGTATGAACTGTGTGTACTATGCGTGTGGCATGTGTTCTGTGCGATGTTCGTATTCTGTGTGATGCATAGGATATGAAATGGGTGATATGAAATGGGCATGTTCATAGAATCCTAGAATCAAAGAGTTGGAAGAGACCTCATGGGCCATCCAGTCCAACCCCATTCCGCCAAGAAGCAGGAATATAGCATGTTGTGTGACATGGGTGTGCAGTATGATGTGGGATGTGTGTGGTTTGCCTGGTGTATGAGGCGTGTGTATTATGTATGACCTGATGTGTGTGTTCTGTGTGATGAAGTGTTCTGTGTGATGTGTGTGGTGTGTCAGATGTGGGGAGGGGAGAAGGAAGGGGAGGGGAGGGAGGGGAGGGGAGGGAGGGGGAGGGGGGAGGGGAAAGGATTGGAGGGAGGGGGATTGAACAGTCAGACTTTTGCCACAACTGAACACACATCTCAAGTCTTTGGGATTTCAAACTGGTGGGAAGTATTGAAAAACAGCAAGAAAGAGGACGGTTCAGCCTGCCTTCCTTCAAGCATGGCCTTCTTCTCTCATCTCAAGATGTTTTGGGCTCAGTTCTGTTCACAACTGGTCAATGCTGTGATTTCCTGTTGAGTTCCAATCTAGCCAGAAGTGGATCCAACATCCAGGCGGTTGAGGAGAGGAACATTGGGCATTGGGCAACAACCCATCAGGAAGAAGAAGAAGGCCAAATGCCGCCTTGGCGTAGTCGTGGTTCTCTTGCTTTCCTCGGACTCCACCTGGCTCTCACTCCTGGTGCTGTTGTCTCCTGTTGTCTCCGCAAATTCACCTTTCTCTCCAAGTCTTTGGCAAAGAGTATGTTTCCGACTGGGCTGGATCCGGCTGAAACCCTGGCTGAAATCTTTGCCATATCCCAACAATTGTGAGGCTTTTCACCTGAGGAGAATGAGAAGAAGGACATCACATGACACAAGACAGCTTCACCAGCTTGGTGAAGGACCCAATTTTGGGCCTAGATCTAAAATATGAGGAGGCCTGTTGCCCCCCACCTGGCTCTCTTCCCAGATGAGAAGTCCAGCAGGGAAGAGGAGTGGGGACCCCATGCCGGGAAGCCAGCCAGCCAGACCAGTTCAAACTGCTTGAATGAACCAGAGAAGGAAATGCAAAGACTACCAAAGACTTCTAGAACAGACTTTGTCCTGTGCTGCCTTGGACTCACCTGAGGAGGAGGAACGGGGCAACCCAAGAGCTCTGGTTTCAGTTGGAAGCCACTTGCAGCATCCTTCTCCTTGCATCGTTGGCAACCAAACAAGCCTGGGTCTTTCTCAGCCATACGTGGGAGCATTTCTTCATGATACAGATCTTCATGGCACCACTTATCCAGACATACTTGTCCCATGGGGGGCGGGGTGGGTGTTGATGTGCCTGGAGCTTTGCCTGAAAGCTTGGCCTCACCCTTGGTGAGGCTTGTGGGGCTTGTAGTCCAAGCTGTGCTCCTGCAGAAAGAAAGAAAGAAAGAAAGAAAGAAAGAAAGAAAGAAAGAAAGAAAGAAAGAAAGAAAGAAAGAAAGAGAGAAAGGGCTTGAGTCCACGGCACAAGGCGTCTGGTTCCCAAACAGCCGTCCTGCTGCTGACACGAGGGTTTCACCCTTTGCGCCACTGGCTGGGGGCTCCGTCTCACAGAGTCATTCTATGGGACTTCTTCTAAGCAGTGTGGGTTGCATCGATTAGCATGATCGCCTTAGAGTTCTGTTCCTGGCTGTCATTTAGTTTTGCATATCGAAAAACATTTTTGTCTCTTCTTCTTCCTCTGTAGAGTCTTGATTCTGCTTGCTTGCATGTTTGTATTTCTGTTCTATTAAATAACAATTGATGTAAAAGATGCCAAATGTTTCCACTTTACTAAAATATACAGCACTAAAAACTTTGGGAAAGGTTCCTTCTTTCTCCAATTGCGGGTCAATTAACCAGGAACGGATCAGAAACGTCACAAAGGAAATGTCGTACTTCCAATGTGGCCACACTGGGACATCATCATCCTTTGTGTCACCACCACCACCACCACCATTTCTTGGGGGCCATGGAGCTCTGCACGACTGCCTGCCTGTCACCAATCGAGTCTGCTAATGTCAGAATGAGACTGCCATGCCATAGGGAAGAAGGAGCATCCCCAGACTTGGCCTAAATGGGGCGAAATAGCATTCAACCGGGAAAACCTAGAATACTCACCAAAAATACATGTGCATATTAGATGAACTCTATGTTGAATTCAAGGTAAATTTGGGTTTTCTAGGTAGTGTAGTCAAGCCGCATATAACCGCATCTGTAACGGATCCAAAGACACAACTGGACAGGAGTTGGGTGCCTGGCAAGTGGCCAGCCTCTCTCCCTCCCAGCGGCCACCTCTGCTCAGACCTGAAGGTCATCCCCATAGTGACCTCATCATCATCACCCATGGCATCAGAGTGTTTGTGATCAGCTGAGGCTGCCTCCATGTCAACCACAGTTGAGACAACCCTTGACACCAGGCCCCATCTGCAGCACTCTAGAATATCGTTGAACTGCTTTGAACTGCATTCTATGAAGCTACGTATGGCAGAATGCATGATGGCGCCTAGGGTGTTCTTTATTGGAAGTTACATAATTGGTGTAGAAGTGTTTAACAGGAAGCACTCTCTCACTAATCCAAAAGGGTCGGTTACGCACATATTGTGAACAGATAATTGGTAATATTGGTATAAATACATATTATTATTATTTTTACATTTCAGTTGGAAGATGAGCAAGTGAAAGACTGTATGATACAATGGGATGTTTATCGACCAGAAGTTGATGGCAGAAGTGACTAGGAGGATGATATTGGAATCATAGGATAACAGAGTTGGAAGAGACCACATAGATCATCATTAACTGACCCAAATAGTACTTTTTCTGTGACTTTTTTGAGTGTTGACTATAAAAGTGTAGCTCAGAACTGTCACAGTTAGTTTCTCATCACAATATTCCTACATGGTAAGAAATAGTTTATGTACCCCCCGCTCCCCCATATAAAACTATGCTAGAAAACCATTGTCTTGTGGGGTTCCTCAGGGCTCAATATTGTCTCCCATGTTGTTTAACATCTACATGAAGCCGCTGGGGGAGATCATTTGGAGTTTCGGGGTACGGTGTCATCTGTATGCGGATGATGTCCAACTCTGTCACTCCTTTCCACCTGCTACTAAGGAGGCTGTCCAGGTCCTGAACCGGTGCTTCGCCGCTGTCTCGGACTGGATGAGGGCTAACAAATTGAAATTGAATCCAGACAAGACAGTCGTAAGGCTGAACAGGGCATAGGGTCACAGCCTGTGTTGGACGGGGTTGCACTCCCCCTGAAGACGCAGGTTTGCAGCTTGGGAGTGATCCTGGACTCGTCGCTGAGCCTGGAACTTCAGGTTTCGGCGGTGACCAGGGGAGCATTTGCACAGCTAAAGCTTGTGCGCCAGTTGCGCCCGTACCTTGGGAAGTCTGACCTGGCCACGGTGGTCCACGCTCTGGTCACATCCCGTTTATAGACTACTGCAACGCTCTCTACGTGGGGTTGCCTTTGAAGACGGCTCGGAAGCTCCAACTAGTCCAACGAGATGTGGGGAGGGGAGAAGGAAGGGGAGGGGGAGGGGGGGGGGGGGGAGGGAGAGGGGAGGGAAAAGGGGAGGGGAGGGAGGGGGGAGGGGAAAGGATGGGGGGGATTGAACAGTCAGACTTTTGCCACAACTGAACACACATCTCAAGTCTTTGGGATTTCAAACTGGTGGGAAGTATAAAAAAGCAGAAAAGAAGAGGACGGTTCAGTCTGCTTTCCTTCAAGCATGGCCTTCTACTCTCCTTTCAAGATGTTTTGGGCTCAGTTCTGTTCACGATACTGTGATTTCCTGTTGAGTTCAAATCTAGCCAGAAGTGGATCCAACATCCAGACGGTTGAGGAGAGGAACATTGGGCATTGGGCAACCCATCAGGAAGAAGAAGAAGGCCAAACGCCTTGGCGTAGTCGTGGTTCTCTTGCTTTCCTCGGATTCCACCTGGCTCTCACTCCTGGTGCTGTTGTCTCCTGTTGTCTCCGCAAATTCACCTTTCTCTCCAAGTCTTTGCCACAGAGTATGTTTCCGACCGGGCTTGATCCGGCTGAAACCCTGGCTGAAATCTTTGCCATATCCCAACACTTGTGAGGCTTTTCACCTGAGGAGAATGAGAAGAAGGACATCACATGACACAAGGCAGCTTCACCAGCTTGGTGAAGGACCCAATTTTGGGCCCAGATCTAAAATATGAGGATGCCTGTTGCACCCCACCTGGCTCCCTTCCCAGATCAGAAGTCCAGCAGGGAAGAGGAGTGGAGACCCCATGCCGGGAACCCAGCCAGACCAGTTCAAACTGCTTTAATGAACCAGAGAAGGAAATGCAAAGACTACCAAAGACTTCTAGAACAAACTTTGTCCTGTGCTGCATTGGACTCACCTGAGGAGGAGGAACGGGGCAACCCAAGAGCTCTGGTGTCAGTTGGAAGCCACTTGCAGCATCCTTCTCCTTGCATCGTTGGCAACCAAACAGGCCTGGGTCTTTCTCAGCCATACGTGTGAGCATTTCTTCATGATACAGATCTTCGTGGTACAACTTATCCATACATATTTGTACCATGGGAGGCGGGGTGGGTTTTGATGTGTCTGGAGCTTTGCCTGAAAGCTTGGCCTCACCCTTGGTGAGGCTTGTGGGGCTTGTCGTTCAAGCTGCGCTCCTGCAGAAGAAAGGAAGGCAGGAAGGAAGGAAGGAAGGAAGGAAGGAAGGGCTTGAGTCCACGGCACAAGGCGTCTGGTTCCCAAACAGCAGTCCTGCTGCTGACACGAGGTTTTCACCCTTTGCGCCACTGGCTGGGGGCTCCGTCTCACAGAGTCATTCTATGGGACTTCTGAGCAGTGTGGGTTGCATCGATTAGGATGATCGCCTTAGAGTTCTGTTCCTGGCTGTCATTTAGTTTTGCATATAGAAAAACATTTTTGTCTCTTCCTCTTCCTCTGTAGAGTCTTGATTCTGCTTGCTTGCATGTTTGTATTTCTGTTCTATTAAATAACAATTAATGTAAAAGATGCCCAATGTTTCCACTTTACTAAAATATAAAGCACTACAAACTTTGGGAAAGGTTCCTTCTTTCCCCAATCGCGGGTCAATTAACCAGGAACGGATCACAAACATCACAAAGGAAATGTCATATTTCCAATTTGGCCACAGTGGGACATCATCATCATTTGTGTCACCACCACCACCACCACCATTTCTTGGGGGCCATGGAGCTCTGCGCGACTGCCTGTCTGTCACCAATCGAGTCTGCTAATGTCAGAATGAGACTCCCATGCCATAGGGAAGAAGTAGCATCCCCAGACTTTGCCTAAATGGGGCAAAATAGCATTCAACCGGGAAAACCTAGAATACTCACCAAAAATACATGTGCATAGCAGATGAACTCTATGTTGAATTCAAGGTAAATTTGGGTTTTCTAGGTAGTGTAGTCAAGCCGCATATAACCGCATCTGTAACGGATCCAAAGACACAACTGGACAGTAGTTGGCTGTCTGGCAAGTGGCCAGCCTCTCTCCCTCCCAGCTGCCACCTCTGCTCAGACCTGAAGGTCATCCCGATAGTGACATCATCATCATCATCATCATCATCCATGGCATCAGAGTGTTTGTGATCAGCTGAGGCTGCCTCCAACAGTTTAGGCAACCCTTGCAACCAGGCCCCATCTGCAATGCTATAGAATATCGTTTAACTGCTTTGAACTGCATTCTATGAAGCTACGTATGGCAGAATGCATGGCGCCTCGGGTGTTCTTTATTGGAAGTTACATAATTGGTGTAGAAGAGTTTAACAGGAAGCACTCTCTCACTAATCCAAAAGGATCGGTTACACACATATTGTGAACAGATAATTGGTAATATTGGTAAAATACATATATATTTTTTTACATTTCAGTTGGAAGATGAGCAAGTGAAAGACTGTATGATAAAATGGGATGTTTATCGACCAGAAGTTGATGGCAAAAGTGACTAGGAGGGTGATATTGGAATCATATGGTAATAGAGTTGGAAGAGACCACATAGATCATCATTAACTGACCCAAATAGTACTTTCCAGGAGCTCCAATTTTGTTTGCTTTGCATTGAATGTTTGTTTGCAGTCCTAAGTTTCAGGGACTCTGCAGATAGGTGGCTTCTTTTGGCTGCAATCATAGGGCAAGCCACCTGTCAATTAGAGTTAGGTTCCCTGGTCCCGCCCCCTTTGGGTTTTGGAGGGAAGAGGAGCCTTTTTGAGTCAGTCCACACAGAGCAGCTTTCCATACAGGACACGAAACCAAGAGCTCCTGTAGAAAGCTTCGTCTTCTACGGCTTGGCCGGGGAGATACACAGCCTACGGCTTGGCCGGGGAGAAAAGGCCCCACAGCTTGGCTGAGGATTTTACCACCTTACAGCTCCTTTGCTGAGGGACTTCAGTCAGCCATCACAGCACCCTGAACTCCTTCTTTTGCCCTGGAAGTCTACAAAGCTCTGCTTGGCAAGGGTCGCTCGCGGAAGCCGGACCCAGTTGGTACCGGGTGCAGGGGCTCCACGCCAGCAGAGGCAAGTACAGACTGCCCAGATGAGAAGTTAAGTATTTCCCCATTAGTTAGTATACAGTAATGAAGATAGCGCCTGTTCCCAGTGAACAAGATTGCAAGAGCCAATAGACTGTGAAGAAAGCTTTAAAGTCCCTCTTTGTTTTCATCAATAAAGAACTTTGTTGGACTTACTTTAAGCCTCTACAGAACTTTGTTTAAGGAAATCCAAGGGCCTTTCATCTGAGGCAGCCCCGTTGGGCATCCCGTTGGGCACACGGAATTTATGTGTACTGTCTACAGTCATGCGCGCAGGCCCAGCGTGCGACAGCACACAAACCACAACAAATAAACAAACACAACAAACAGGCATTTCGTGCCAACATTAAAACCTGGCTCCTTCTTTGGAAGCTTTTAAGAAGAGGCTGGATGGCCATCTGCCAGGGGTGATTTGAATGCAACATTCCTGCTTCTTGGCAGAATGGGGTTGGACTGGAGGATGGCCCAGGAGGTGTCTCTTCCAACTCTTGGATTCTATAATTCTATGACTGTGAGAGCTGTTCAGCAGTGGAACTCTCTGCCCCAGAGGGAGTCCGGTGGAGGCTCCTTCTTTGGAGGCTTTGAAGCAGAGTCTGGATGGCCATCTGCCAGGGGTGCTTTGAATGTATTAATATTCCTGCTTCTTGGCCGAATGGGGTTGGACTGGAGGATGGCCCAGGAGGTCTCTTCCCACTCTAGGAGTCTAGGATTCTATGAAGTGAGGGCAGAAGCCCCGCCTCCCTGTCTTCAGGCGCCATGTTTGGGCCGGGCAAAAGTCCAGCGAGAGGGGAGGCCTCCGCTTCCTAGAGAGGCAAAAAAGTAGGCGGGTCGGGAGGGGTTGGAGGCGGGGGACGCGCTCACTTCCGGAGGGGAGGGGGGCACTTCCGGAGGAAGGAAAGGGCGTGCCTTCGTGGCGTCCTCGGAGAGGAGCGGAAGAGGAAGGCGAAGGCGGCCAGGTGAGCGGGCCCGCCTGTCTCGTGAGATCTGTGTAGGTAGAGATGTCGAGGAACAGCTATAGATCCAGGTCTGTTTGCCTTTTTATAGGGGTTTTTTTTCGTGTCAGGAGCGGCCTGATAAACTGCAAGTCGCTTCTGGTGTGAGAGAATTGGCCGTCTGCAAGGACGTTGCCCAGGGGACGACGCCCGGATGAATCCTAGAATCCTAGAGTGGGAAGAGACCTCCTGGGCCATCATCCAGTCCAACCCCATTCTGCCAAGAAGCAGGGATATTGCATTCAAAGCACCCCTGGCAGATGGCCATCCAGCCTCTGTTTAAAAGCTTCCAAAGAAGGAAAGAGCCTCCACCACACTCCCTCCGGGGCAGAGAGTTCCACTGCTGAACGGCTCTCCTTACAGTCAGGGTGATTTGATGTTTTTATCATCCTCGTGGGAGGGAGGGAGGGTTCTCTTATGTCCCCTTTGCATGGGGAGCTGGAGCTGACAGAGGGAGCTCCTCCGCCTCTCCCCGGACTCGAGGTTTTGGAGTCTTAATACTAGTCAGGTTCTGCCGTGTGGCCCTTATTTATTTATTGACTTTGCTTCTATACCGCTGTATCTCAAGCCCGAAGGCGACTCACAGCGGTTCACAAACAGTAGAAACAGCAGTGGTTCCATACAACATATAACAATTGACTTAACACATTATCCATAAATTACCAATAAGCAATTACAATGCACAATTATTACAAAAAACAACCGTACCCAATCTTCTCATCATCCAAGCGTAGTCCAGGTTCGTCGTCCATTGTTCCATTCCTATGTTCCATTACCAGATTGCACTAAATTACTCAAACGCCTGCACAAACAGCCAGGTCTTCACCTTTTTGCGGAATACCATTAGAGATGGTGCTAGTCTAATGTCCGTAGGAAGGGCGTTCCACAGCCGAGGAGCCACCACCGAGAAGGCCCTATCTCTCGTCCCCGCCAGCCGAGCTTGAGAAGCAGGCGGGATCGAGAGCAGGGTCTCCCCGGAAGATCTCAAAGTCCTGGTGGGTTCATAGGCAGAGATGCGGTTAGATAGGTAGCTTGGGCCGGAACCGTTTAGGGCTTTAAAGGCCAACGCCAGCACTTTGAATTCAGCCCGGTAGCAGATTGGTAGCCAGTGGAGTGGCGCAACAGGGGGGTTGTATGCTCCCTGCGCTCCGCTCCTGTTAGAATCATGGCTGCCGAACGTTGGACTAGTTGGAGCTTCCGAGCCGTCTTCAAAGGCAACCCCACGTAGAGAGCGTTGCAGTAGTCTAAACGGGATGTAACCAGAGCGTGGACTACCGTGGCCCTTGGCGTTGTGCTGAGGGAAAGAGACGTTTCGGTGTTTTGAAGTGATGGTGCCATGGAAGTTGTGGAAGTGCGCGTTGTCAGGCTGCAGGAGAGCAGGGCCTGGCCTCACAGGTGTGCTTCTCCAAGGAGGGAGAAATGTAACTCAGCTAAAATAAAATACAGACCGATAGAAGGAAGAGCAACAGAGACAGAAAACACCGTCCACGAAAGGTCTCCCCCCCCCCGTGCAATGAGCCCCCAAAGGTCTAATGAAACAGAAGGGTCTCCTCTTGTCTACAGAAAGATCGCAAGGAAGACCCCCAGCCCTGCCTTTCTGGAGAGTTCCGGAGCAGTCCCTGAGAAGGCCCTGACCCCTATTTCAGGATGGTGGGGGTGGTGGGAATAGGAAGAAAGGTATTCCAAATCATTACTCGAACCTTCTTCAATGTAAATGTGCTTACATATCCTTTCAATGATCACCATGGTTTATTCTAACTATCCATTTTTGGGGAAATGCTGTGTGTCTATGAATAAGGCAAAGTGGGAAAGACTGGCGTGGGAAGGGGCGGGAAAGAAGGACTGGAAACGGGACAAGATTGGAATAGGAAGGGGTGGGTGAAGAAGAGGGAAAATGAGGTGGAAAGTAGGGCAGATTGGGTGGGAGGGGGGATGACTGAGGTGGGAAAAGAAAGGGGGGGGGGCTGGAAACTGGGAAAGGGTGGGATGGAAAGCGGGGCTGGGAAAGTGGGGAAGACCCCAGTCTAGAGTGATTTCATTATCCAGAGATTCTATGGTCAACCTCTGGCAGAAGTGGAGAGTATGTATATATATTGTGCACCGAGAAACACTTCTGAAGCACGGCTGATTTTATGCAATGGCAAATCTCTGTTTTCCTTACGGATCACAAATAGCAGGTTATTCAGTCTAACAACTGACATAATTGCCTTGCATAATTACCTATATCTGGTTGTATACCACAAGAGAAGATTCCATTCTAAAGGGTTTTGGGCTCTTCTCTGAAAGGTCATGTTTAAAGAATCAGTATGAAGGATCTTGTATTGTCGAAGGCTTTCATGGCCGGAATCACTGGGTTGTGATTGGCCATGTTCTAGAGGCATTTCTCCTGACGTTTCGCCTGCATCTCTGGCAAGCATCCTCAGAGGTAGTGAGGTCCCAACAGAACTAGGGAAAAGGGTTTATATCTCTGTGGAATGACCAGGGTGAGACACTGGCCATTCCACAGAGATATAAACCCCCTTTCCTAGTTCCAACAGACCTCACTAACTCTGAGGATGCTTACCATAGATGCAGGCGAAACGTCAGGAGAAAATGCCTCTAGAACATGGCCATATAGCCTGAAAAAACCTACAACAACCCATGAAGGATCTTGATTACTAATCCCCCAACTGGACACCAATATGATTCTGGTACGGTGTGTTTAGATGTATGTTGTGGTAACGTGTGTGTATCTTGGTAGAGTTGCTGCCACCACCCAAGGAGATGTTTGGGAAATGATATGGTTGTCATCCCTGAGGTAAATCTTCTTCTTCTTCTTCACCAGCCCTCCCTTCTTGCTCCCTTTAAATGACTGAGGTGAAAAGATGTCAAAAATCACTGGAACATTTCTAATGGGATGAATCAATGCTGAGACTTCTTGGAAAGTTGAACTAGAGAAAAGTTTATTTAGGTATTTGAACAAACAATTAACTTCTTTGATGAGGCACACAAACTTAAATCGTTATAAAAGCATTCTTCTCAAATGGTTTCAGAGTCTTAATAATCTTGGTGGTTTCACTAAATAGGTTTCCTTCCTTAAACATGAGGAAGTTCCCTCACTCTACACTAAATCTAGCAGCAGTGAGTTCCTCAGACAAACCTAACCTGGCTGTCCCCAGAGTAATTAGCTTCCCTCTTCACAGAGATCACTAACAGCTACAATTACCCTGTTCCCTAGAGAGTAAAACAACTTGTGTCCTAAGTCTGACACAAGTCCACAGGTGTCTGTCTTGATCTTCCCAATCAAACACTATAGCAGCACCTGCCCCCAAAATACCCTCTCACCGGAAAAACTTCTGCTCACCAAAAATCCAACCCAATCTCCTCTCTCGGTCAGACGCTGACAGCCTTTTACACTCTCAGCTCAAACTCCTCCCACCTGGCCTTAACCAATCCTGGGAGAGCTGAGCTCCTCCCCTCTGCTGATCTAACACTCCCAAGATGTCTGCCTCACTGTACTACCTTCCTAAAATGGAGGCCGGCCTACTGACATCTTAGGCTTCAGCTGAGGCCTAAGAGGTAAGGTTATGTTCTCCAAAAGGTGTCGTCCAAAAGATTAGGAATGCCTTATGTCCTATAAGGCGCAATGCATGTGCCTCTGTGTGTGTATGTGTATTCCCTAGAGTTGGAATGTATAGATAGATGCACAGATAAATAGATAGATGCATAGGCAGACAGACAGATAGATACACAGATAGACAGATGCACAGATAAATAGATAGATGCATAGACAGATAGATGCACAGATAGACAGATGCACAGATAGAGGGAGGGAGGCAGGCAGGCGCAGGAAAAAGAGGTGCATGCACGCTTCCTTCCCACCTCCTCTCACTGCTGAAGTTCCTCTTCCTCTCACCGTGCGTGCGGCGAGAAGAGGAAGGGAGGCGAGTACGCACCTCTTCCCACCCCAAACACCTCCCTCCATCTTCTTGCTGCACGCGCACCTTCCTCCCACCTTCTCTTGCTGCCGCACATGGCAAGAAGAGGGAGGGAGGCACGCACACGGCGAGAAAAGGTACATGCCTGGCGAGAAGAGGTGAATGTGCACATTACTCCCATTTCTCACTGCGCATGCCCTTGCAACAAGAGCAAGAGGGACTTTGGCAGCAAGAGGAGGTGGGAGGCAGCCCTCCGCACAGCAACCCAGCTGGAGAGCGGCCACAGGTGACTGTGCGGAGAGCAGCCTCCCTCCGTCTTCTTGTGCACCTTTTCTCACCATGCGTGCGAGATCAAGATGGACTTTGGTGGCAAGAGGAGGTGGGAGGGAGGTGCGCGCGCTTCTTGGTGAAGGTGAACAGGCTCTTGTAGATGAAGCTCTGGGGTGGCTTCCTCTTGCTGCGGCTTCGCTCCTTTCCCTGCATATGCTACAGCAGCAGGCGATTGTTCTTCATGCCCAATGAGATCTTTCTGTGCTCCACTCCTGATGAGATTTCCCTCTGCTTCGTCCAGCAGGTAATCTCTGAACGCGCCTTGTGAAGAACACGCTGTGAGACCTTTGCCCACGGGATACCTAAGACTGAACTGAAGGCACACCGCACTGGCAAGAACAAGAAATAAGAAAGAGAGATTTCAGTCAAGGAGGAAAGGGAGGATTGTGCTGTGGAAAGAAGGGCTTGGGAAGAAGACCAGAAGACTACGGCAATACAAAGACCGAGAAGAGGAAATGTTGTGCTGTTCAGAAGAACATATCTGTGAATCTCTGGAATAATAATTGAACAATAAATTAAAAATAATGGAAAATCATCTGCAGCCCTGTTCCACATCACACACAGGGGAGAAGTTACATAAGTGTATGGACTGTGGGGAATGTTTCACGGGGAAAAGTTCTCTTACTAAACATCAACAAACTCACACAGTAGAGAAGCCACATAAATGCAGTGAATGTGGTAAGAGCTTCAGTCGCAGTGGCGCTCTGCAACGCCATCAAAGAACCCACACAGGGGAGAAACCACATCAATGCATGGAATGTGGAAAGAGCTTCAGTCAGAGTGGCAGTCTGCGTTCCCATCAAAGGACCCACACAAAGGAGAAGCCATATGAGTGCATGGAATGTGGAAGGAGCTTCAGTCGGAAGGGACATCTTACTTCCCATCAAAGGACCCACACAGGGCAGAAGCCATTTCAATGCATGGAATGTGGAAAGAGCTTCAGTCACAGTACAACTCTGTCTCAGCATATAAAGACCCACACAGGGGAGAAGCCATATGCGTGCATGGAATGTGGAAAGAGCTTCCATTCGAAAGCAGCTCTGCATTGCCATCAAAGTACCCACACAGGGGAGAAGCCATATAAATGCATGGAATGTGGAAAGAGCTACGGTCACAGTGCACATCTTCGTTCCCATCAAAGGACCCACACAGGGGAGAAGCCATATGAGTGCATGGAATGTGGAAAGAGATTCAGTCAGAATGGACATCTTGCTGCCCATCAAAGGACCCACACAGGGGAGAAGCCATTTCATTGCATGGAATGTGGAAAGAGCTTCCGTCACAGTACAAATCTCTCTCGGCATATAAGCACCCACACAGGGGAGAAGCCATATGCATGCATGGAATGTGGAAAGAGCTTCAGTCGGAGGGGACATCTTACTTCCCATCAAAGGACCCACACAGGGGAGAAGCCATTTCAATGCATGGAATGTGAAAAGAGCTTTCGTGACAGTGCAGAGCTGCGTTACCATCAAAGAACCCACACAGGGGATAAACCATACCAATGCCCGGAATGTGGAAAGCGCTTTAGTCGTAGTGGACATCTTAGTTCCCATCAAAGAAGCCACACAAGGGATAAACCATATCAGTGCCTGGAATGTGGAAAGAGCTTCAGTGACAGTAAAATTCTGTGGAGCCATAAAAAGATCCACACAGGGGAGAAGCCACATAAATGCCTTGAATGTGGAAAGAGCTTCATTAGGAGTGGAGAGCTCCGTTCCCACCAAAGGACCCACACAGGGGAGAAGCCATATCAATGCATGCAATGTGGAAAGAGCTTCAGTCAGAGTACACATCTTCGTTCCCATCAAAGGACCCACACAAAGGAGAAGCCATATGAGTGCATGGAATGTGGAAAGAGATTCAGTCGGAATGGACATCTTACTTCCCATCAAAGGACCCACACAGGGGAGAAGCCATTTCAATGCATGGCATGCGGAAAGAGCTTCAGACATAGTAAAACTCTGACCCTCCATAACAGGACCCACACAGGGGAGAAGCCATATACGTGCATGGCATGTGGAAAGAGCTTCAGTTGTGGTACAACTCTGAACCTCCATAAAAGGACCCACACAGGGGAGAAGTCTTATCCATGCATGGAATGTGGAAGGAGCTTCAGTTGTAGTGGAGAACTGCGTTCCCATGAAAGGACCCACACGGGGGAGAAGCCACATAAATGCTTTGAATGTGGAAAGAGCTTCATTAGGAGTGGAGAGCTTCGTTCTCACCAAAGGACCCACACAGGGGAGAAGCCATATCAATGCATGGAATGTGGAAAGAGCTTCAGTCAGAGTGGCAGTCTGCATTCCCACCACAGGACCCACACACGGCTATAGGGAGAGACCTGCCTTGGGGTTTCCTCGTTCTGGGGTTCCCCAGCCAGGGGTCCCATCCCTCCACTGACAGGTAAAGAATGGAGAATGGAAGCAAAGAGGGAGGCCGCCACCTTGTTCTCTATCTGTCGTGGGCAGCAGTCTGCGTGGCCTGGCTTGATTGCTGCTGGGAGGACTCTTCTGTCTTGCACCCATTTTGGAGGGGTCAACCTGACCTCTTCCTCCTCCAGGAAAGCATCACAGAGCAGCTGAGATCTTATGGCAAAAGGTCTCTGAAAAGACTAGCTCTTTGGGAGCGGATAACGGCATACCTGTGTCCTGTTGCCCTAGATCTGGGCTCTGATGCCTCTCAGTTTCCATTCTGGACTCTGGCCTTGTTCCTGTAACCCTGGACTGGCGACCCTGAATCGTTGGTTTTCAGTCTTGGACTGACTTCCTGGCTTGGTTTATGGACTTGGGCTTCAGTTTGCATCCCTCACTATCTGGCCTGATGTTGGAACTCTGACTTTGGTTTGTACTCTTGCATTCTTGGTTGTTACTTTGTGAACTCTGGTGAATGAACTCCTGGCCCCTGACTGTTGGACTATTGTCACCTTGGCTGTGGCTTAGTCTTGCTTCTGACCGGGCTCCACAATACGCGGCTTGTCAGCATTAATTGGGCTCTTCATCTTGGTTTGTGTGCTGCCATTGCCTTATTTTAGCCAGACCTTGAACAATTTCAAGATGTCCGTTTTTGTATAGAATTCTAGAATAATAGAGTTGGAAGGTTTCCGTGCTTTCTGGCAGAAGGGGGTTGGACTGGATGATGGCCCACGAGGTCTCTTCCAACTCAATCATTCTATGGAAAAGACTACAGGCACCATCCAGCCCAACCCCATTCTGCCATGCTGAAAAAGCACAAAGCCACCCCGACAGATGGCCACCCAGCCTCTGCTTCAAAGCCTCCAAAGAAGGAGACCCCCCCCCCCACACTCCCTCCGGGCAGAGGAAGAGAGAGAGAGTTCCACTCCTAATCAGCTCTCTCTCCCCGCCAGGAAGCTCTTCCTCATGTCGAGGTGGAATCTCCTTCCTTTCCTTCAGTTTGAAGCCGTGGCTCCCTTGCCTCCCAGTCTCCATGGAAGCAGAACGCAAGCTTGCTCCCTCCTCCTCCTCCCTGTGACTCCCCCTCACGTATTGATCCATGGCCCTCATCATGTCTCCTCTCAGCCTTCTCGTCTTTAGGCTAAACACGCCCAGCTCCCTAAGCCGCTCCTCATAGGGCTTGTTCTCCAGACCCTGGATCATTTTATCCTATCACAAGGGAAGATATTTTCTTAGGTAGCAGAGCAAACGGGCATTTCTTTGCTGATAAAGACTATTTTTCAGAATTGCATGAACCTGAGTCATGTGGCAATGGAATAGGAAATGGTTCTCTGAACTGTTCAGGATCTGGAACTGTTGGTTTTGCACGTATGCACCCAAGTGCAAGTGTCGTCCTGAGCTAGGCTAATCCCTGTGAGGCAATGAGATGCAACTCAATTCCTGTATCAAAGCTGAGAGTCAAGGGGTGCCAGATCATTACTGATCAAGAAAGTTGCAGAGTTATGAAAAATGGGAGAAGGAGAAGGGATCTCATGGGCGAGGGAGAGTGGCGGCGGGGTGGCCCATATGTCGCAGCATCCAAAGGAGGAGGAGGAGGAGGAGGAAGAGGAGGAGGAGGAGGAGGAGGAGGAAGGCTCTGAAGTAGCAGCAGCAGCAGCAGTGGCAATGGTTGCTGCTCCCTGCATGTCTCTCGGCCCCTAACTAACACTAAGGCAAGGGATCAAAGGGCAGAGGCTGAGGAGGGGAGGAGAGAGGGGGGAGGGAAAAAGAGGGAGGTGGGCCACACTCTGTGCACACACCCTGGCTCTCTGTCTCCCCCCCACACACTCCCACAGCACAAGGGAAGGAGGAAGCCCCAAAGACCATCCAGCCCAACCTCATTTGGCAGTAAAGGAAGACACCATCAAAGCCCTCACAACAGATGGCCAAGCAGTTGGGAGGAAGCCCTAAAGGTCTTACAGTCCAACCCCCTCCCTCCCTCCCTCCCTTCCTTCCTTCCTCCTCCTCCTTCCTTTACTTCTTTCCCTCCCTCCCCTCCTTCCTCTCTTCCTTTCCTTTTCTCTATCACTCCTCCCTCTCTTTCTTTCTTTCCTTCCCTCCCTTCCCTTTCTTTCCTTCTTTTTCCTCCTTCCCTCGCCAGCTTCATCCTCCTTTACTAAATCTTCAGTGTAGATGCACCCAAAGTCACCCCTTCCACACAGCCATCTAAAATCCAGATTATCTACTTAGGACTGGATTATATGGCAGTATAGACACACGCGCGCGCGCACACACACATATATGGATGGATGTTGGATCACTGGTTGGTGAGATATACACACACACACACATATATATACACAATATTTTATATATTACTATTATATGTACTGCAATATAATACATATATTATATATATTATTGTTTATATATATATATATATAATAGACTTATATAATCGAGTTAGAAGGGACTCTACCATGCTATTGGGGGAGAACAGACAGGAAGGAGAGAAGAAAGGAGGGAGGGAAAAAGGGAAGGAATGAAGGAGGGAAAGAAGGAAGGAAGGAGAGAAGGAAGAAGAGAAAGTAGAAAGGAAAGAAAAGGGGAAGGAAAGGCAGGAAAGAGGTAAAGAAGGAAGGAAGGAAGGAGAAAAGGAAATAAAAAGTGAAAGAAGAAAGGAAACGGGGAGGGAAAAAAGGAGACGAAGAAGGAGAGAAAGGGGTAGGGAAGGAAGGAAAGAGAGAAGGAAGGATGAAACCAAAGAGCGAAAGAAGGAATGAAAGAAAGAGGTAGAGAAGGAAGGAAAGAGGGGAAGGGGAAGAGAAAGGGGGGAAGGAATAGGTAGGTACCTCTCTTTCATAATAGTCCAGATATCTACCTCTACTTCAAAAGGCCTTACTATAGGCCACAGCAATGTGTAGCAGGGCACAGCTAGTATGTATATCTGTATGTCCAATGGCATTCTTTATGTAAAAGTGTAAAAGTTCTGTAGACCCTCTCACACTGGAAGTTGCAATAAAAAGAACATATGCTTTAAGTTCTTAAAAGGTTATTTGTGGCATGTTGCGCAGGAGCAGGGGAGCCTAGGGATGATTATTGTCGTTACCAATTTGAAAGGAACCAAATTTACCATCAAGTTAGAAGGGAGGCTGTTCAATCGCACCTCCTCCTTT